CTCTACTCAGAAGTCAGGAATGTAAACTACCCAGGGTGGTTGCAGAGATGGTACCTCCCCCAGAGAGCCCAGGTGCTGTGCCAAGGACCTGGAGTGGCAGAACCGCCACACAGCAGGTAGGTCCCACGCTTGTGCTCCTCAGCCCAGAGCCTGGAGACCTGACCAGACAGTCCAGCAGCGGCCTGGGTGTCAGCTGGAACCACTGGGATGCCCAGACCAGGATGGAAAGGGCATGCACCCAGACGTCTGTGCAGTTCCTGGCCAAATCCCAGCATGCCTACTGGCCCTGTCACAGCCTTGAGCAGAAGCACATTTCTCAGCAGGGCTGGGCTTTGATGGACTGGGGCGGCCAAAGGGACTTGCCTGTGGCCTGGCAGGCCCTAGGGTGCGCTTCTCCTATAGAGGGTCACCAGCTCCTTCCGCTTCTCCCTGAGCCCTGGTGCTTCCTGGCCCAGTTCCCCCAAATCTCTGATGTCCTGCAGGACCTGAGTGGCCTGTCTCAGCTGCTCCACAGCCTGGCTGAGCAGGGTCTCAGCGCTCACAGGTGTCAGCTCACTGCCCAGCACCTTGTTTAACAGTTGTTCCGTCTGTTCTGAGGCTACCTTCACCTCCAGCTCAGCCCGATACAGCCGTGGGTGCCGCAGGCCCTCTCCAAGCAAGTCCCCAAGGGAGGAGCACCGGGGATGGAAGTGAGTCAGCTGGTCCTGGAGAGGCGGTGCAGGCGATGTGCTCACATCCTCCTGCTGGGGTCCTGGTGCAGCCATAGCCTTGGATGGTTTGGCAGGCTCCAGGCTGTTGTCCACGCCATTCACTGAGACCTGGGCTGGACCTGGGGCAGAGCTCTCGAGGGCCCCAGGAGGCTGGGCTGGCCCAGAAGAACCCATACCACTCAGGGAAGCTTTCAGTTTCTCCGATAAGATCTTGGGTGGGGGTACAGGGGCCTTCCTGCCCTCCTTGGGATCAGCCTCTGACATCTCAGAAGAGGTCAGCTGGGGTGCTCCTGTGCTCTCAGGGGCCTCCTCAGAGCTGGGGTTCTCCCAGCTCACCTTCAGTTTGTCAGGCAGGACCTTGTTGGGGGGCTGCTTGGGGCCCCTGTCCTCTCCATCTGGGGTCTCCGAGTCCTCTTGGTCCACAGGGAGGGTCTCAGTGCTCTCTGGGACAGGGGTTGGAGCTCTCTCCCCTACAGGTGGCTCCGTGCTGTCACCAGGGCTGGTTATCTCAGGCGCTGGGGAAGGCCTGGTGGGGGGCATGGGGGGCCGGAGTGGTTCCCGAGGCTGGGCAGCACTGACATCATCGCTGGGGGCAAACACTGGTGGCCCACTGTCTGGAACATCGAGGTCCAGGCGCAAAAGCCCATCTGAAGCTGCACTGGCCACCTAGTAGGGGGAGGGGGGTAGTAAATGGGTATCATTTTGGAACACAAGCCTAACCCTCCTATAAGGCTTGTCAGACCCTCCCATCCACGCTGCCCTCCCTCTGCCCTGGCTTCCCAGGAAACAGAAGGGATTCCCTGAGGGTTCCTCTCCCTCATCCCCGGAGAACAGCTTTGGAATCAAAGACCAGGAAGTCAGTCAGAGCCAGGTGCCCTGTTGGTGCCCCAGCCCAGCTTCTCCCAGGTAGGCAAAGATGACATTCTTCTGGAGTGGCTACTGGGTTGGCAGGGGCAGCAGGGGACATAGCCATTTCAACCCTCTTTCTGCCTTCTACCTGTATGGTCTCAGAAGGGTCTCTTCTCCACAGCCCCCCCCGCCCCCCGCCCCCCAACACACACCCCATGCCTAGGGCTCCATTGTCTCAATTTCACTCATTTCTGCTTCCCCTTCCCGGAGACCTCTGTCCGTTCTTCCCGCCCTGCCCCTGTTCTCCCGGCCAGACTGCTCCAGTCCTCGCTGGCCCAGGCGCTCAGCAGTCTGTGCCCGCCCTCAGCATCAGCAGCACCAGCTCAAGGATAACTCCAATGGAGCAGAGATGGGGCATTCATCCTCTCTCCAACACCCCCCACCCCGCCCTCTGGCCACCTTTTTAAAAATTCTAAACCATTTCTAAAATCGGCTTCAGCAGTCTGTGCCCACCCTCCGTATGGTGTCAGATGAGGTCCCAGATAGGGACTGCCACAGACCACAGCTGACGCCAGAGGAGAACAGCTGCACCCAGCAGATGGCTGTCCCCACCTGGCTTCAGGGACCCATGAGGACACCAGGCAGCCCCATGGTCTGGGGAGGTGCAGTCTTTCCTCAGAGGCCCAGGAGCAAAGCTGGGCACTAGGTCTCAGCTAAGTCAAGGTTCCTCAGATGGCAGGGTCCTGACTGGGACCTTCACATTAACAAGCCGGACCCTCCTCCACTCCCTTTCACATGTACACCCCAGTCACCTGATGTGTGACACGCACACTCAGTCAGTGGGAACACCACAGACATGACACATGCACAGGGAATTCTTCTTGGAGGGGCCACACTCCGGGTGGCCCTGCAGTCCTTCCTATCTCTCTGGCAACCATTCCTTCCCTCAGCTCACAGTCATGAAAAGGCTGCCTCCTTTCAAAAGTGGATCCTCCAACGACTTTGGGCCCCTTGCTTTTAAGTGTGGCCTTGTCTCTTCCCTTCCACAGTCCCCTTGACCCCAGACTCCCCATAACATGCCTAAACTGATTCCTTGTCTTAGAAAATATGACATAAACGTCCCAGCTGCCTTTTCCTTAGTCCCACCCTGGTGCCTGAGGGAGGCCACCTGGCTGATGACCACTAGGTACTGTGTCATTCGTCTCTTCACTGGCTGCTTTCACCCACTACTCTGCCACTACCTCCCCGCCCCCCACGTCACATTTGCTGAAGCTCTTTACCGGCCTTCAAAACTCCCCCTCACTGGCCACCCGCAGGCTCACTAGCTCCACTACTCACGAAGAAGACTCCTCTCTTTTTCAAACACCCTGTGCTCAGGGCCTCCATTCTCCCGACTCAGGCCTGGGGAGAAGCTTCTCTCCCTCGGAGGAGACCAATCTCCTGGTCAAGAAGTGCCAAGCAGCACACCTTGAACTCCCCACCCTCCCCTCCCCCACATCCTCCCAGTCCACCTACCACAATTTCCTCTCACCCCCCAGTCTGCCAACAGAAACCCTTCTCACCGTCCCAGTTCCCAGGGTCAGCTCCTCATTGGTGCCCCTCTGCCCAGAGCCCTCGTCTATGTGAAATGGGGTGTAGTTTTCCCGGCGCAGTCTGTGGACAGGCCCAGTCTGCAGGGAGATCTGGACGGTGAGCTCTGAGGGACAGGGCCCGGCTAAGGATTCAGCGAATGAAACAGGCTCTGGGCCTGCGATATCCACAGCCTGAGCACATCTAATACAGGCGCCTCCACACGCAGGCACCCCTGAATGCTACCCCGAGCCCTCAATGCCATGTGTCCTCAGAGAAAAAAGCGCTCCCACGTCTGGTTGCCTTACCTCTTTCAGATGAATTCTCGTAGGTGGCCGGCGCCGCTGGCCCCCCCGCACCCGGTCTCGTGTCACGTGCTCCAGGGCACAACTCTTGTCCACCTTCACCTAGGCAGAAAGGGAAACCAACCACGTCAGCCCCCACCAGGCCTTGAGGAGAGTGGGCAGAGCCCAGACCCTTACACATCTCAGAGGCAGGGCCTGTACCACCCTCCCCCGCCCTCCCTCTTCTCTTGTTTTCCTGGGCCAGCATCTCACCCTCATCCCTCTCTCTGAGGACCACGGCTTCTCTGCTTCCCAGACTACCCTTTCTTGTCAGCTTTGTCCTCGGTCTATTACAAAGACCTAGGCAGCCCTGAGGCTGTTTTGAGGCTAAGCGGTGGGCTGGGGAGTGAAAAGCCACCTACACCCAGGTCAGCCCCTATGGTACCTGAGAAAAGGCCTGTCTCCACAGACCCCTGGGCCTAGCCCAGGAAAAAGCAAGGTTGCACCCATGGGCTCAGACATAGGAAGAGTTGTGTGTACGGTACAGGACCGGGCAGTGTTTCGTTCTGTGGTGCAGAGGGTCGCCTTGGGTCAGAACTGACTTGGTGGCACCTAACAACAACGGCTCCCTTAGGTCAGAATGTTTGGAGGGAAGCACCTCTTCTGGGAGTAAGGGACCAGGGTCAGGAACAGCTGGGAGCCCCAGAGTAAGGTCCTCACAGCAACTCGGGCTTGGGCTATGGAGCAGCTAATCCTGTGATGGCGAGTAAGGCAAAGGCTCTGCATGCCACGTCAGCTTAGGGTCCAGGCCCACCTGAGGGGACAACTGTGGAGGAACCATCCTTGCTCAGCAAGACTGTGGAACAAGGCCAAACCCAAGGCTTCTGGGGCCTCTCGTAAGCCCCACACCACAAGGTGTTCCGTGCTTCTTCTCCCCAAGGTGGGGACACTTTCCCCAGTGAGTGAAGAGCTGAGCAGTGCACAGTCCCACAGGTCAGACACAGGAGCCGAGAGGCCATGGTGATAATGGGGGACTTGCTTAGGAAGATTCACCCCCACCCCCACCCCGGGGAAGCAGACCCTCTGCAATCGAAGGGTTACTCGAGAAAGCCCTAAGACTGACTTTGGTCAGCACAGCTAAGAACCCAGCCCTCTGCAGGAGCCGGGCCTCACGGGACACCCTGCCTGCCCCAGTCACACTCAGCACAGGGGGCTGACGTCTGCAGGGCTGGGTCACCACAGATGCTGAGGGGCCCAGGGTCAAGAGAAAGCCTAGCCCCTGGGACTTTGTGGGCAAACCAAAAGTGAGCTTCAGGCTCACCAGCAGCTCTCTCTAGCCTGAGCCTACCTGCTGCTTCCAATCTGCCCCACCACTGACTTGCTTTTTAACTGAAAACATGTTGCCTAATCTCTTTGTGCCTCAGGTCCCCCTTCTGTAAAGTGGGGACCACCACCACCTTGGGGGAGGAGGCTGTTGTGAGGATTCGATGAAGTCACAACAGATACGACCTCGTGTACAGTCCTGACATGATATAGGGAGTGTGTGCATAGACGTGGGCAGGGTCCTCTCTCTCACACAGGCAGGAGTGAGGCAGACTGGGTCCAGGCCCCACAGGGCTGTACCACACCTCACCTCGTCAAAGGCCTTGTTCTTGCCTCTGTTGATTCCTTCGTTGAGGGCTTTGATCCAGGCCTCCTTCTCCTCCCCACTGGGGGCCTGGAATTTGATGTCACTGACCTGCCAGGAGGATGGCGGAGGTTTAATAGAGCTCATGTGAGGGGCTTGAGGGAGCAATCACCATCTTTTCATTCTTTTCCCACACAGGTGTCAAAGCCTGCTGGGATTTGGGGTTGAAAGGAAGTTTCCTGGCCCACCTCTCAGAAGCTTCCCTGGGCACAGCTGGCCAGAAACAAAATGACCCCATAATGTGTCATACACACAACTTCAGGAGACCCCACAGAGAACAAGCCACCCCCCAGCATGCATCTACCAGGGTTTTGGATTAAAACCAGCTTTGCCCAGTGGAAAGCCCTGGATCCATTCCCTGCACCCTGGAGCTCTCCTGACCTCTGGGCTTGTTTGTCCTCTGCGAAGAAGGCCTAGTGTATATCCACGCCAGGCATGACAGAGTATGTCCCCTGGTGCAGGCCCACTGGAACCAGGGCCTCACACCAGCCCAGGGCTCTACTCTTAGAGCCCGTGTAGTGTAAGACTTGGAGAGAGAAAGGGTGCTGGGTGTTCCTCATGAAGACGACAGGGTTCAATAAACAGGCCAGGATGTGGTCAAGGCCCTGTGTGGTCTGCAGTAGATCCTATGGCCCCTGGTCTACCGCCCACCCCACCCATACTGGTCCCTTCCCATTGTAGTCAGGCGCTCCTGGCTCCGGCATTAGAATCACAGGGTAGCTCAGAGAACCACTCCAGGGTAGGCCCCACAGTCAGACAGGAAATGAGAGGTCACGCACGTAAACTGAGGGCAGACAAGCAGTGAACCCTTAGAACCAGAGGCCCCAGCTTATAGCCTGAAGAAACGGGCCCCACCGCTACTACCTGCCTCGTGGAGACGAAATCCGTGACAGATGATTTAGCCACAGGGCTAAGCCAGGAACTGGACATAGGGCGAGTCCTGGCCTAGGAGTGACCACCAGTGCCAGCTTCTTGCCCAGGGTCGTTCAGTTTCCTCATCCGCTAAATGGGACAGCACGGCCTACCAGAGAGCGATGCTCAGGGGCTTCCACGTGATCAAAACCTGGGCCTGGCACACAGAAGATGCTCTGAATGTTTACCAAGGGCCCGTGAATGAATGAACTGACCCACAGTTCCTTCCCTCACCCGGCTTTTGGGCCACTGCCCACTCGCTGACCTCAAGATGCCCTACTTCTTTGTCCAGCAGGTCGCTGGCCTGCCCATCCCCCACGCTGGTGTTAGATAGCCTTCCCTCCCCTCCGGCCACTTTCCCAATTATGTAACAGCGCAGTAGGCCTGGCCCCTCAGCATCCCTCTTATATAACTTCCTCCTGGCAGCCGAATACAGGGCCTGGGTCTGACCCACCTCCCACCCTCCATGCCAAGCACAGCCAAATGCTCATTTGCATGACCAGGGTAAATTTGATCCTGGCAGCAGATTGGCCAGCAGTTAAGTCAGAAACCCCAGGCACCTTGGCCACTGCCTCTCAGTCCAGCCACCAGGGCTGCACAGGGCTGGAGGAAGGGAGTGCTGTAGCAGGCTCTTCAATGACCTGAAATGAGAGCAGCCAGAAAGGAGCTAGGGCCAGCCCCCGGGCCCCAGCTCCTGCTCCTCTTCACAGACCCGGGGACGGCCCGCTCCGCATAGGACGTGAGGACACACTTGAACTCAGCAGCAGGGAGAGTCTGGTAGGACAGTGGAAAGAGCAACAGCCAGGGAGTCACAGATAGCTGAGTTTAGCCCTACCCCACACAGGTCCTTCACTACTCTGGGCCTTAAAGGGAAAAAAAGGAGGCATGGGCCCCCACCCAAACAGGGCCTCTTTCCCTGGGGCCAGTCAGCCAGGGCAGGCTTTGGGGAGGTGATTCTGCTCTCTTCCGTGAGGGAAATGTGGCCTCAAGGAAGACGTACTAAGCTGCTGGCCAGAGGATTTGCACGGGAGGTTAAGTCAGACCCACTCTGCCCTAAGGAGCAGGCTAATCCTGGCAAATGAAGCAGGCCTTCCACAAGGAGGGTCAGTATGGGACAGTGAGAATACCAACACCAATGAGTGCCTCCCAACACCGCCCCCACCCCACCCTGCCCTGTGCCCTAAGGAACCAGGGCCACACAGGTGCCAGGCCCAAGGCAAGCGCCCTGCTCTAAAAGATAACAGGGCTGACCTTGGAGGAGAATGTCCTGGGGAGGCAGGTCAGGAAGGGCTAAGCGGGTCTTGACCAGTGGGGCAGCAAGGCCCAGCGTGGGCCACCCTGTTTCCTGGCAGCGTCTGCCTGTGACCTCATGGGCAAGGGTGTGGGGATGGGGAGGCAGGGGGAGAAGGGGCATGCAAAACACTGGAGTCTTTGTTTATTTGATTAGAGTTGAAAAAAGGCAGCCTGAGGACCAGACAAGCATGGTCACATGACCTCCTGGCTGCCTCTCGGAGGATGGGGAACACCCAGGGCGATGGGAACAGAGAGTGAGAGGATGCCCTGAGATAGTCCGCCATTCGACTTCTGGAGAGCTCCCTCCATCGCGGGGAGCTATGGGGGGCAGCAAGGGGCAGGGGGCCACTGAGCTGGAAATGGGGTATGCTATCCTCCCACCACCCACTGCTCCCACCCATGGCTCCACAGTTCCTATCTCAGATTCCCAGAGTCACCCAGGGCCAACCTGAACTCTTGGCAGGACTGGGTTTGGGTGGGGAGTGTTGGTGGCAGCAGCACAGAATGCAGCTATACAAACAAGCCCATTGCAGGCTCTGCCCTGGGCCTGCTGAGCCCACCACCAGCTGATTTTCAGAGCTGGGCAAGGGGAGTGGCTCCCAGAGGACACAGAGGTTAGGATCCTCCACCTCATCCACATAGCGCACTGAAGGACACACAAGGACCAGACACTTGCCCGGCTGACACTCCCCGCACAAAATGAGGGACACACACGGGCAACACTCGGGCACAGCTGCTCACACATGATGCACTCTGCATTTCTTCCAAACTCATTAATACAGCAGCCACCCAGGCACAAATCAGATCTCTAGGCCAGGGTGGGAGCTCCTGGGCCCAAAAGACCAAACGTTCCCCTCTTCTTCAAGGAGCCCCAAGCAGCAGGTGTGGAGGGAAGCCTGAGCTAGCCCCCTGAGCCCTCCTGACACCAGATTCCACCTTAACCTGGGGCACATGTCCCCAGAGCTCCCATGTGGAGAGGGGTGTCATGAGAAGAAGGTGGCACAGTGGTTGTACATTGGGTTGCTAACCTCATGGTCGGCAGTTTGGGAAACCCACAAGGGCAGTCTGACCCTGTCCTGTCGGTGTGCGGTGAGTAGGAATCGACTTGACATGGCGAGGGAGTCATGAGACGGTGCAAGGGGCGTCAGCTCCGCAGCCCCTTCACTGCTGTCTGGGCTGCTTCTTCGCCTGTCCCCCACCCCCACCCTCACCCCCCAACCTACCACCGAGTAGGACAAAAGGTTGATGAGTGAAGCATCATAGGGCCTAGGGCCCAGGGACTGGGTTCTAGGTCCCTCAAGTCGGAGGAAAAACCAAAGTGCCTCCACCAGGCCCCCCCACAGCCCCTCTGACTCAGCCCCACTCTGTCAGGCCGGGCCAGTACTCTGTGTGTCCTGGCTGGGATGGGTGTGAGCTGCGCACACCAACCTCAGAATCTCAACACCCTTCGGACAGCTCTGAAATCACGCCATGTGTCAACACCCATTGGACTCCCCACCGGGGAAAGGAACAGCAGGGCAACGAATAACAGCTCAAGCTGGGCCAGGGTGGGATCCGAACTGGACCTCAGAGTGCCCTGGAAGAGCACAGACTGGCCTGGCGGGGAGGGCAGGCTGGAGCAGACTGCTCCCTACCTTGTTCCCCGGGGACCGCAGCAGGATAAACCTGTGTTTCCGCTTGAGGAGGGCACGGAGGTCTTGGCACTTCTCGTAGCTGCCCAGCTCCACTGTCTCCACACACTTCTGTTCATCCTGGGGAAGGAGATGGAGGAGACACGGGTTGGTGAGAGCTAGGCATCCCCAAACCTGCAACTACCCAGGCCACACCCCAGACTCGGATACCACTCAGCCGAGGGCACCACGATTGGGCAGGGGGCTTGGGCTGTCACTCCATCACCAGGACGCGGTGTTCAGACACCACGAAGCGCACAGTGGCGCTGGGTACATACTAGCTGGAGAGATGCTCTCTAGCTCACCATCCAAATGCGTCCCAGGAGGTGGGAGTGCCCATGGCACTGAGTCAGATGTGCTAAAGATCAGAGGAGGAAGCCAGGAGATGCAGGAAAGGCTCAGAAGAGGAGCCTGGGACCTCATGTCAGCCAGGAGGGGCAGGATGATAAATTCACTCCCACTGAGTTGAGGCCAGCGCACAGCGACCCTATAGGAAAGGTTAAAACTGACCCCGGGGAGTTTCCTAGACTGTAACTCTTGGTGCAAGTAGAAAGCCTGGTCTCTCTCCCATGGAGTGGCTGCTGGTTTTGAACTGCAGACCTTAGGATTAGCAGCTCAACTCATAACCACTACACTATGAGGGCTCCATTAGGATGTCACCAGGTGGGACAAAAGGGAAAGTCCAAACCACCAAGGGAAGCATGAACAAGGCTCATTTGGAGCCTTCACAAGTTGCCCCCTCCCCCGACCCATGTAGTATCTTTCTCTGTTGACCCTCCAGTAGGAGAGTCGCCCCCACCCCTGCCCCCCAGCCTGCGGAGCATGCAGATGAGAGGAAAAGGCTCTCCAAGAGCACCCTGGCCTGCCATCACAGGGCTCCTTCCAGGCTACCAATGGACACCCGCCAGGCTACTTTCTCCCCAGCAGCCATTGCACCTGAGTGATTGGTCCATAGACTCAACCCACCAGGTCCTTCTCCAGCAAGCTGCCAGGGGCAACCTCCCTCCTTCAACTGCTTGCCTTCCAGGAAGACCAAGCTGAAACAACTGTCGGATATGGCACATTCTTACTTGAGCAGCAGGCCATTCCTGGCAATTCGCCAAGCTGAGATTGGCCACCAAGTTAAGAAAACCCTCACTATGGGCTATTATGCAGAGAGCCAGCAAGAGCCTGCCCCCATGGAGCGCTTGCTCCCATCTCCCTCTGTGTGAATCTGCTGTATTAATTATCAAGTGCTTGTGCGACAGCGCAGCATCAGTCGACAGCTTTATGGGATGGCCTTCTTAAATGAACAGCAGCAGCAGCAATAGCGATCTGAGAACTGGTTACAACTCCACAAGCTCAGGCTCTTCCCTGTTCCTGAGGAAATGGGGCTGGAAAGCTGAGCTTTCACCAGCTCTCCAGGCAGTTCTGATCCCTACACCAAGGGCCCTCAACTTGGTGGCATTTGGGAGTGTTTCCAAACCCCTATGTCCAGGCAATATCCCAGACCAATTACACTATAGGCTCTTGGGAGGGGGATCCAGACACAAATATAAAGCTCCCCAGATGACTAGACAGCCAATAATCTATGCTGTCTTCAAGAGAAGAGGGGTTCAGTGGTAGACTCCCCGCCTTCTATGTGGAAGACTTGGGTTTGATTTCTGACTAATGACCCTCAAGCACTGCCATCTTCCAGTTGGTGGAGGTTTGAATGCTGCTATGATGATGAACATGTTTCAATGCAGCTTCCAGGCTAAAATTGACTAGGAAGAAAGGCCTGGTGATCTACTTCTAAAAATCAGTGCATGAAATCACAATGGTCTCATCTTGTGGTGCATGGAGTCATCATGAGGTGGAGGTAGACCTGATGGCAGCTAACAACATGCTTTCTACGGCCACTCAAGAGAAAGAGGACCAGTTGGCCGGGGCGGCTTGGTCTCTCCCAACCAGATCTATTCAGGTGTAATTTCCCATTTTTGCAGCCACACCTCTCTTTCCCACCCCTAGTCTCTAATCCCTTCTACGATCCTTCACTGAACACAAGGACCAATACAATCCACTTGCTCCAGGAAGCTTGCTGACTACAGTCCCGAGCCCTGAGCCTTAGGGCTCTCCACTGAGGTCCTCATCACTTACTGCAGAGTGCCTGCACATCTGCCAGGAGTGGGCACCATGCTACCTGCCAGGGGTAGGGCTCTGCCCTAGAGAGGCACAGTACTAACCCCCTGCTTGGTCTTCTTTGGAGGCCCTACACCGTGTGTGATTCCCTGACAAAATGGCCACCTTAGGAGGGGCTCATACAGCACCAATTTGCTGGAATAAATGCTTGGCATAGAGCGAGAACCCCAGGAAGTCCCCCTCTGGCTAGGCATCCAGAAAAAGGAAGGGGCCTGTGAAAGGGTTAGCATCCCCAGAGCAGTTTACCTGCCCCATGTCTGCAGCCCTCCCTCTGCTGGGCAACCACTGGCCCAAAGGCACCCCCTCGTCCAGCCCCACCACCCGATGCCAGCTGCCTGTCCTGGGTCTCCTCTCCCCCAGAAACGCTGAATCATCCTGGCCCTTCTACAGCTCAGGGGGGAAAAAAATGGACAAAGCAGCAGACACTGGGTGGGGGCAGCAAAGTTGGAATGTCAGCTTCTCTGATGGCAGAGATACAGTCAGAAGCCGCACGCACTCGCCCAGTTCCTTACATCAGAAAGAGGAATTGTGCTAATAAACACTTCTCAATTCCTACTCCTGGGCCAAGCTCCCCCACCCCCAAGTGCTACGTTCTTGAAATTGCATTTAGGTTGTTAATAGTGATCTCTTTTTTAAATCCTGATTTAGATTCTTCACATTTAGGGGATGTAAAATCCTTCCTGATTCTCAGCCACGGGCAGATGTGGTGCAGGGTCCAGGATGATCGCCTGGCAGGCTGACAGCTAGGGGCCTGTCACTTACTCTTCCAGCATCTGGGACTGGAAGAGGCTGTGACAACCCTCTTTATTTGTAAAAATATCCCCCAGCTGCCATGTTCCCAAATGTGGCACATCCTAACTTGGTGACAGCAGCAATGTGGCACATCTGGGGGCTCTCATTTGCACACCCTGATTCCCTTGATCTCTGCTGTCCTCTGACGCCCACTCCCTGAACCTGCAGATGAGGGTAAGACCGGCAAGATGCTCCCATAGGCTTGCCCAGCATCCTCTGGACTGGCCAAGACGCCGAGGCACACAGATGGGGGAGGCTGACGGGGCAGAGCAGCAGTTGCTCCTTTCTCTGGCCCCCGCTTAGTTCATTTCTATGTATTTGAGCCATCACACGTATAGTGTTCACAGGCAGACCTCTGATAGTCCAAACCCCAGAAAACAAACCATAGTTTCAAACAAAAATAGTTTCAAAGACTCACAGTGAATGGTGTCGTTTTCTCCTTGGAGTCTCACATGGCGCTCTTCTAACTCTTACTTAACACACACAATCCTAATGTCCTGACTGTCCCCGCGCCAACCCTGCTGGAAACTAGAAGGTACAAGAGGCTGAGAGGGAAGGTGCAAGAGCAAGAGAAATGGCAATGGGCAGCTTGATGTAAAAAGAGAAAGAAAAGAAGAAAGGTACAGGCCAGCAGTGTGAAGCACTGATTGTGCAGGTCCCTGAGCCCAAAAGTTAAGACAGTACCTTCTGCTGAAGAAGACAGAAATAGGAGGAGGAAGAGAGAGTGGAGCACATCCTGGCCCACTAAGCCTTGAAGACGATATTCCCGCTCAGAGCAGCCAATCCACAGAGAAGATCACGTGGCCGACCCCACTACAAGACACGACACGCCTCACTGACCCATAGCCCTACAGGGGACAACACTGGACATACATTGTGGGAATTGCGCCAGATCTGATCCCACCACACCGAGGCAAAACCCTAAGGGCGTGGAACAGAACAGCAAGGGGAACAGAGCAACGAGTCCCCAAGGAATACCAAAAATAGACTTTGGGGTCAGGGCTTGGCGCCCTAAATGACTCGACTGGAAAACACGCCTAAAGGCCAACAAACAGTCCTTGAACTAACTACAGGCTTTTCTTTCTTGTTGTTGTTTTGTTTTTTGTCATTGGCTTCTTCTTCTTGTTGTTTTGTTTTCTTTTGTTACTTGTTTTTGCTGTCTTGTTTTGTGCAAGTTATTATCTCCACAG